TTTTAATATACAAGCAGAAGGGCTAAGCTAGACAAAAAGATATTTAAATGTCATCGCTTTATGTTATTAATTTTAGTTTCATTGAAAATACATGCAATCATTGAAGACCTTTTTACCTTTTTTTCTACAGTTGGGTACCAAACAGTCGAAAAAGAAACCTAATGAGATCTCTTGCCAATTGCGTCCGACGCATCAGCAGCTCTGATACTCTGCAAGAAAAACTACATCTCCTGAAAGAAACCTTCATACAAAACGGTTATCCATCAAGATTCGTAGACAAAAACATCAAACAGAAAATCCAAAAGCAGGAGACACCATCCGTGCCAAAAAAGATACTTTATATGAACCTCGACTTCTAAGGTAACATACTCAGTGATGTCCTTAGGAGCAGAATATCCACTTCTTTAAGAAAAACTTTCCTTGCGGCATCATTGATATAAGAATAAAACTTGGGCACTGTGGTAGAATGTAATTCCATTATGAGTAAATTTTTATTTTGATAGAGTCTCACAGTGTTATACAGTAATATTTACTGATGACGTTTCGAGCACAGTTTATTGCTCATAATCATATCCAGTTAATCACACGACTTCCTAAATTCATTTATATAGTTCCATTGTTTTTCACTTGATTTTCACTTGATTTGATTGGTAGTATTATTTTCCATATTTCAGGTAGGAGTGATGATTCATTCCTATTGCATGTGTTGGGTGTAGATTCGATGAACAAAGATTCAGTAATCAACCTCTCTCTCCACCTACCTAGATTACTTTTTGGAATTTTAACCCTCTGCCACCCTATTGTGTGGTTGTGTGTTAATGCATGCATTGCAATTGCCGAGCTTTTTTCTAAATTACTTATCTTCTCTGGGTCAACCATTCTTACCTTAGCTAAATTCTTATGTTCTGACAATCTGACTACCCCTGACCTACTAGTTTGACCTATGTAGTTGACCTCACAGTGGACCCAATTAGACAAAATAATATAATTTACAAAATACCCTGCAATGACTGTGAAAATTATTCAACCACTTCTACTCTCATGGTTACAACTCCGCTGATTTGACTTAACTTTTGTTTGTCTGCTTATTTTTCTAACTACTTAAAATCCTTGCGTAATTCCGTATGTTATTTTGTTTCCATGTACACCCTGAGCACAACTGTTTCATCAAACCATTCACGTTATTACGTAACTCTTCTTTAACAATCATTTGTGACAACTCACCACTTTTGTTACTACTACCCTCTTATATCAAAATGCAATTCATCTGAACTTAATAATTGTATTTTCGTTTGACAAATTTAATGTACACACACATACAAGACAACCATATATATTTGTGATTGTTTTTTTTCCTTCACGTTCCACAGTGGAATATAGGGCTTCAAGCTAGTGACTTGAAGTTTCTGTAGCAGTGTTTATTTTACAGGATGGGGTTGCTAGCCTCATGCCCAACCTTTCCTCTTCACCAGCATTATTTCTGGCTTAGCGAAGTAAAGGAGTGCGTCGGCCGGGAATCGAACCCCGGACCATGTGCATGGTCGGTGAGCGTCCTAACAGCTATACCACCGACGCAGGTTTGTGATTGTACAGCTGTGAAAATTAATTCGCCAAACAGAGACTCTTCGTTGAGCTACTGATCTTCAGTCTTTTTTAAAATAAACAAACTTCAGTAAAGTATAATTTCATAACTGAGCAATGCACTTTAGCCCTAATAGTTTAAATAGTCTTTATATTCAGGAAAGGTTATTTAAGTTGAATTGAAGCCTGTTACTGAAGTGTCTAAACCACAGGCTTCCACAGCATGAGTCAGATCCATTAATATGAATACAAGACCGATCTAGGAACCAATGCATGATGCTTCTTGCATTATCTCTTTAGACTGAAGCAATAAAATATGTTTAGAAAAACAATGTGATTGTAGTCTGGTAAGTAAATGAATCCTTGAAAATGTGGCCAGTTTTGTTTTATCGCTGCAAATGTGCAGTATAATTTCAAATCATATACTGTTAAATATTTCGCATATAAGGGATAGTGTGTCGGTGGTCCAATGGTAGAATAGTCGCCAGCCATACTAGAGGTCCGGGTACAATTCCTGGCCTACGCACTTCTGAAACTCCTTTAGTTTGTCATGATATTAAATGGCTGGAAGCAATCGGCAGGAAGCCTTGGACCTAGGTTTCGTGCTAGTTGGCACTCGTCAGCAAGGCGTATCTGCAACCTTGAAGGAACTGATGTCCCTTCTGAGATTCGAACCCACGTCACCCAGTGCTGCAGTCAGAGATGTTACCACTGGAATGGTGGCCACATAACAACCTGACTGATAGAATTCAGTCTGCACCAAAGAGAGGACTAGACGCATCACACTAGTCACGAGTGTCAAATCAAAATACTCCCTTAGTTTGCTGGCCATGATTATACCAAGAAAATAGGGAAGTTTGAGACTGAAGCTAACCACCCCACCACTACTGATACTTCACTACTGCTGGATGTCCTGTTTTTCACTCAGAACACAAAAGAAAATGAGGAAGGTGATAATGGTTAGTAGTTGCTGCCTAGTGAAGGCTATGAGACAACGTTCGTTTCTTTTATACGTAAGCTTTATTGTTACATCAGTCAGTCTACTCAGTTATTCAAACATCCAATAATTCCATCAATTTCCTTCCACCATATTTATGTCTGGTAGTTATGACAAGTCATAAAACTGTTTTCTTGTTTAAGTGACACTAAGATCAAGTTATCAGTTAGACTTTGTAGAGGAATCAATATTACCCTAATCGTTCAACAAACAGTTTCAACTTTTCTGAGATTTCCATGTTTAGTTATATTAATTGGATACATTTGCACACCGTGATTATGATTGTTTAAGTGTAAGAGCACCTTAATTCCTATCTGAATTTAACAAATAATCAGTGAAATGTATCCTACAAATGTATATCACGAAAGACTGAAATGAATTATCTTAAAAATTAGACTTTCACGTAGATTTGATCTAAAATCAGCAACAGATAAGGAACCAGAGTAAATCAGGGAGCACTGAATAAACTATTCAACTATGAACATGAACGACCTCACCAAGATCCCGATGACACATTGTTCATTGATATTCTCCTAATAGTTTTCAACTAAAAAATGAGCCAGTTTCTTGACTTTCTTTATACACAAAACCGAAAAATAAACAAAATTAGTGAAATTAGAATATGTACTTAATATTATTTGGCAACTACTTCGCTAATACTGGGTGCCGCCAACAATTATACATCTCATCCAACAGTTGTACGACAATGCTGCATGCCAAACTCACGGAATCCTTCGAAGTGAAAACGGGAGTTAGAAAAGGCTGCCTACTATCGCCAATGATTTCCCTGATTGCGGTAGACTGGATAATGCGACAGACAGCGGGTACGCGAGAAGACAGACATAAAATAGAACCACACAAAAAACTGGAGGATCTGGACTTCACCGATGATGTATGTCTGATTTCCCACAAATTGGAAGATATGCAAGCGAAAAGCAACAAGTTGACAGAAGAAGCATCCAGAGAAGATAGGACTTCAGATGAACATAGAGAAAACAGAGGTGATGAAGATTCCTGGGCAACACCAACAGCAACAACAACAACAGACAACAATCAGCATAAATGGAAGAAGCCTGAAAGAAGCAACCTCCTTTACCTACTTGGGAAGCATCGTTCCAACTACAGGAGGAATTGATGAGCATATCGAAGCGAGGGTCGGGAAATCAAGGCAAACTTTCATTTCTCTCAAGTCTGTGTGGAGTTGAACAGTACTCAGCATGAAAAATAAGATCCGGATTTTCAACTCTAATGTGAAGTCAGTGCTACTATACGGATCAGAGACTTGGCGCGTCACGAAGGGCACTTCGAACAAACTACAGACCTTCATCAACAGCTAACTGTCTTCGTTCAATACTCAAGATCAGATGGCCGGCCAGAAAAATCAGAAACAGGGATCTCTGGGAGCGAACCAACCAGGAACCGATTGTGCAATAAATATGCAGGAAGAAATGGAGGTGAATTGGCTGGCCATACTCTGAGGAAACCATCAAGTGACATCACACCCCAGACTATGGCTCGAGTGCGACCCGGATGGGAAGTGGCGAGTTGGTTGTCTGTGAGAGGATGACATGGAGGAGTTCATGTGAAGAGGAGATGAAAGCATGTAGGCAAACGTGGAGCCAGGTGAAAACGTTGGCAGGGAACCGAACGTAATGGAGACGAGCGGCTGAAGCCCTATGTTCCTCTACGAATCAAAAGAAACAATAATAATAATTTATTATGATAAAATAAATTTACTTTATTTCTAGAAATTTATTTTCACACCTTGAGCCTTTGCTTCACTATCTTAGATCGAATGATCTTGCGATCTTAAAAGTAAAACAACAAAGAATAATTCATGGTGCTATATACTACTGAGTGATTGATTTGAGTAGCTGTATACCACTCAGATCGATCAGCTGGGTTTGCTTGAACTGATTCGGCTCATTGAGATGGGTTTGACCCGTTACACTGTTGATGAGCTAATTTCAGAATTAGTCAAGTGGCCTTCCATTCGATAGATCAGAAAGTATTACTGGTTGATATGAGTGGTATCCAACTACTCACTTCAGTTTATCAGTAGTATATAGCATCATACACTTATGCTTGCTTTCTTGATTGCTGTTTACAGTATCAAGGCAATAACATATTCTGATTTAAAGGATTTCCGTTTTCAATCGAAACTGTGGCTAGATTTCGCCCTGTGATGTGTAAATTCCAAGTCACGAATTAATTTGAAAACCGCAAATTTGATCCAAAGATGAAGTTAACAAATAATTCCGGCAAATAAAACAGTAAAATTTAGTAAATTTATTAGCATGAGTAAGATTGATATTGATGTGATTGTCAGTATTCATGCCTTATAAACAAGTTAGGAATTAATCGATATAATATTAGTAAGATTTAAAAATTCTACACACTGACCAATGTTATTCTTACAATAATGAATCCGATGTGTATATCACTTAATGACTGTGATCCTTATCACTCAGAATATGTAGATATAAAAAATTTACCTATACCCTACACAAGTAGACGACAGTATAATAAACCGAATGGAAATCGACAATTCAATAATCCTCAGCGTACAAAACATCGAACATCAAGTAATTCTGTATCACAAAGAAGACGATTTTCCTCTGTTGAAAATAATAATAAACAGTCATTTAATGGAACACATCAAATTATACGACGTAATCAATCTGGATGGTATCAAACAGATTATATTACCCGTAATCAGTCATTAGAGCCACGTTTACCCACATATGAACCTTTACTAACATATAGTGAAAGTGACCTACGAATAAGAAAGCGTCGACGAAATCGTAAAAATCGTCATGGATCACGTCATTTATACTTATGGCATAATAATGGAAGATTTCCTTTACCTCAGCTATTAGCAACACCTTTAGGTTTAATGAGACAGCTGCCTTTCTCTCGGTTACACCACGATAGTTTCCGTAGAATGTTTCCTACTATGATGACAAAAACTATGAGAGATCGAAAAGAACGTATACAAGCTGCAAAAGAACTACCATTTTCTAAATATTCAGATAATCAACTTCAAGATTTATTTCTAATCAGTCAACCATCAAATGAAACAACTGTTAAAGATCCAAGCACAGTTTCACCACCGAAATGGGATCAAATGAAAAAGAAGCGTATTACACATCACAAGGAAGATTTGCAGAAAGGAGATAATATTGTGGATAAGGTGGAAATGAATCTAGATGAGATAACTGAACCCAACAGTATTGACTTTAGTGAGTTTCCTAATGAAGAACAAGAAACAGAAAAATCGATACATGTTATAGAAAAGGATGATTCAAACCAATTCGATAAGTATAATCACAAGAAAATTGTAACGCCAGTTTCAGAAGAGTTTCTAACAATTTCTGAAACAGAAGACAAACAACCGTCAAGTCATACTAATGAGGAAGAACCTAATAGATCTGAGGATAAAAATGAAACAGAAAATATATTACCGTTTGTCGATACAGATCAAGAAGTTAAGCATAATCTAGAAAAAAGCCCACTAGCAGTTAACGATGAAATAACACATTCAGAGGATTTACGATCACATCCATCGAATCATCAAGGTGTTAATTCTTCTGAAAACGGAGATCACACCACATCTGAATCATGGAAAACCAATCCGTACAGTGAATCACAATCGAAAAATTATCTAGATAAACGAAAATTGAGTAAATTGCACAAACCTAGTCCAGTGTTAGAACAAAGAGATATAATTAGTGATTATTATCCAGAACCGGAAACAGAAGTAACAGTACCACCGCCACAAGTTACAGCCAGTTTATTTGAATCAGCATCAGTGGGTCAGATGACTGGACCTTTAACATGTAGAACCTGTGGACAACCAGCATATCCTGCAGAACGCTTTGAAACAGATGGTGTAGTGTTTCATACAGCTTGTTTCAAATGTCATAATTGTGCATGTATGTTACAAAGAGGTACATGGAATCAAAGAGGTTCTAACTATTACTGTAATCCATGTCATCGTCGAATAGCTTTACAAACATTGAGACATTAGAATTTTTTAAAAAAAGCAGGTTTTTGCCACACAAAGAGGTATGCCTTGTGACATTCTATGACGTATAAAAACGCCAGTAAAACAGTTCAATATGCAACTTATTTTTAAAAAAATCAATTTTTCAGACAAAATTATTGAATGTTGGATTAACTTCAGAAAAAAAATCACTGAAGACATTAAACAACGACTATTGTTAAATTTAATTTAATTTTGAAAAGCTCTTCAACATGAACTAATTTGTTTTTATTATATTTATCTTCCTTTTATTTCGTTTGTTTTCCTTTCACAGTTTGTGATCTAATTGGAGATCGTGATATTGTACTTTTATGCATAATATATAAACGAATCTGCTAAAGAATCTTATTGTAGGAAATAATTTACAAAGTAGCAGTAAATATGTTAGAACTACACATGATATTTAACTGTTGTTTAATACCTTATACCTACAATTGTATTAATAAATCTCAAAATACCCTACATGATTAATTTATATCTAGGAAGGCAAGGAATGAAATTAGATGTGGAGAAATTGTTTATAAAGCCAAATTTATCGGGATGATACTTTCAGAAGGTTGGTCACAAAGGTTTCTTTAAGAAATGTATACGAATTATATGTCCTTAAAAGTCGTACAATAAATTTAATCAATTAGTCTGATGGTCATCTAGATTGTAGGACGATACTACTCAAGAGTATTAAGGTTAAGAACTGCTTTGTACAAGTGGACACTAGTAACTAGTGTCAAATCAAAATATCCACCACAGTCCTACAGGAGGTCAGTGGTAACGTCTCTGACTGCAGCACTGGGTGACGCGGGTTCGAATCTCAGAAGGGACATGAGTTCCTTCAAGGTTGCAGATACGCCTTGCTGACGAGTGCCAACTAGCACGAAACCTAGGTCCGAAACTTCCTACCGATATTTTGATATTTTGATTGAACACTAGTAATTAGTGTAATGTGTCTAGTCTACTCCTCTCTTTGCTGCAGACTGAATTCTGTCAGTCAGGTTTGCAATGTGGCCACCATTCTAAGTGGTTCACCATCACAGTGCACTATGAAATGTTGATATCAGTGGTAACGTCTCTGTCTGCAGCACTCGGTGACGCGAGTTAAAATCTTAAGAGGGACATGTGTTCCTTCGAGGTTGCCTTGCTGATGACTGCTAACTAGCACGAAACCTAGGTCCAAGGCTTCCTGTGGCCGATTGCCTCCAACCACCTAATATTAAAAATTATAATTTGCAAATGTCTTTTATATCGTGATCGCCGCATAGAAAATTAGTTACACCAAGAATTATTGACACTGTCAAATTAAATAACCTAGAAAAATAGGTTGGTCATTGCAAAACATTCACTCGCATGTAATCACGAAGTAGGGGGGGCTATGTACAAAAAGTTACATATATGTGTCATGTGCTACTATCAGGATTTATAAGTAGTATATAGATTTAGATACAAATATGCATACTACCTGCAAAAGTATCGAACAGCGAAGAGATTGATTTAATAGGGAAGAGAAGAAATGAACGATGGTCATGAAAAAAAACACGGAAAACATGAAAGGAAGACATAGAAGCACAATACAGAAGACATTTGCAAATTTTTAATATATGATAGAGGCATTTCGTCTGTCTATACATCGAGGTGCCATTGAATAAATCCGTCGCCAAATAATCTTGTGTTCTGCCATTACATATTCAGGCAGAGAGAGAGAAAGATGAATGACTGAATCTCTGTTCATCGAATCAACACCAAATACTGGCTGGCAGTCGAAATGATGCAACGTCTATACAGGATGTATAGAAAATTGCACCAAACAACACGGAGAAAGAGAGAGGAAAAATATATCAAGCAAATCATGAAGCCATGTGGATAAATCGATATGATTATGAACAATAAATTGTGCCCGAAACATCATTCAGTTATTAATACTGTATCAGTGCGTATTGCATTAAATAAACTCTTGTAATATGGAACTATATTCTACCACAGTGTACAAATTCTACCCTTACAAGCAGTGAGTAGACTGCAGGAATGTATTCAGTACAACAGCGAGTTAAACTAACCGTCACTGAGTCACAATATGACTGAAAATTATATTTCAGTGACTAGATGGTAAGGGTTTAGTTGAAGAAATAGCCTCAACTAAATTAACAATTATCCACTTCAACCACTGGGACCCGATTCAATGGCCAGCCCATGAATTCTAACTTCTACCAATTCGTGATTTAGCGCGACCACCAACCCCCCAGTGGGTGCCTATTGCCAATGACTCCCAAACTAGGATGAAACAGCTGTTCAGTACTCCCTGGTTTTCAATGGTTCTCTAACTGATAACAATCCGTGATCAACTCGTAAAAACGAATCTAATCCTTACAAACCAACTATTGAAAATAAAAAACTATCCACTTAAACAGAAAAATTACATCCACAAAACATAAATACTGAAACACTACACTTCAGCTTTTCTCATACGGTGATAACCTAAAGTATATACTAACGAAAAACTAAGACAAGTAAGCAGGTCTGAATGATGTCCTTCTTAAACGTAAATTTTGCCATCCAGATAAAAGAAAACTTGAACCTGGTGTTCAAGTGTTTCCCACTTAAAACAACAAATATACTGAGTAATAACAGAGAAACAGTTAAAATACTTCACGGTTTCTCTACATCCCATTCAAAAATACTACAATTCTTTGTGTAAACAGTAAGTCAACAAGTGAAACAGAAAACTTTTCTGGCAAGATAAACATAAACTGAGCTTCCTATAGCAAGAACAGAATGCCAACTTGTTCATTTATAGCACTTAAATATTTTTCTTATTAATCAAAAAGCCTACTGAACTGGACTTTCATTAAAAAGGCTGACCTCTTTATCTCAACTTCATCGACTTTGAAAAGGCCTTCGACAGCGTCGATCGAGTGGTACTTTGGCAACTACTTCGCTACTACGGGGTGCCACCGACAATTATACATCTCATACAACAGCTGTACGACAATGCTGCATGCCGAATAATCCACAACGGGAAACTTACGGAATCCTTCGAACTGAGGACAGGAGTAAGACAAGGCTGCCTACTATCGCCAATGATTTTCCTGATTGCGGTAGATTGGATAATGCGACAGACAGCGGGCAACGCGAGAAGACAGGCATAAAATGGAACCACACAAAAAACTGGAGGATTTGGACTTAGCCGACGATAATAATAATTTGCTTTATTCCAAAACTGTACATGTGATACAGAATGGAATACTCAGCATTTTTACTACAGTATTGCTTCCAGTTAGTACATTATCAATAAATAGAATTCTACATAGATTGAGGAAACCACAGTTCATTATTACAACAATACATTGGCATGTCGGTAGCAAAGGTAAAGCTGCAACAGTGTTTGAAGGTGTTAGAAAAGTGGGAGCTGTCTTATTAACTGGCGTAAGCGAGAGAAAGAAACAAAGCAGCACATGACAGAAAAAGAAGAGAGAGAAAAGGAAAAGAAAGAAAGAAAATGTTGTACCTATTGATGATGTGAGTTGGAAAGACGAGATCCAGTTGTACTACTGACTATTTAATGAATTATAGGTGTCACGCCTAATGCTGTCTTTATCACACAGAACACGAGCTAAGATATTTGTCTGATTTCCCACAAACTGGAAGATATGCAAGTGAAAAGCAACAAGTTGGCAGAAGAAGCATCCAGAGAAGATGGGAAATCAGGTGAACATAGAGAAAACAGAGGTGGTGAAGATTCCTGGCCAACAGCAACAACAAGAGACAACAATCAGCATAGATGGGAGGAGTCTGAGAGAAGCAACCTACTTTACCTACCTACCTGGGAAGCATTGTTCCAACTACAGGCGGAACTGATGAGGATATCAAAGCAAGGATCGCGAAAGCAAAACAAGCTTCCATTACTCTCAAGTCTGTTTGGAGGTCAACAGCACTCAGCAGGAAAAACAAGATCCAGATTTTCAACTCCAATGTGAACTCGGTGCTACTATACGAATCACACACTTGGCGCGTCACGAAGGGCACTTCGAACAAACTACACACCTTCGTCAACAGTTGTCTTCGCTCAATACTCAAGATCAGATGGCCGGCCAGAAAAGATCAGCAATAGTGAGGGATCTCTGGGAGCGAACCAACCTAGCAGGAACCGACTGTGCAATAAATAGGCAGGAAGAAATGGAGATGGATTGGCTGGCCATACTCTAAGGAAGCCATCAAGTGACATCACTAGACAAGCCATTGCTCGAGTGGAACCCGAATGGGAAGCAGCGAGTTAGTCATCGGTGCGAGGTTGACATGGAGGAGGTTATGTCAAGAGGAGATGAAAGTATGTGGGCAGACTTGGAGCCAGGTGAAAACTCTAGCAGAGAACCGAACGTAATGGAGACTAGCGGCTGAAGCCCTATGTTCCTCTAGGAATTAAATGAAATAATAATAATAATACAAGTGATACATTTTACAGAAAATAACAAAGTTACTTAGATGGTTGAAATAACAAATAATTAAGATTATATTTGTGAACTCTTTCTTAAGTTACATAGTCAAGAACTACGAAGTCACTCTATATGAATAACATCGAAGATCATGATTAAAATAAAATAACATGAAAACAACGAGAGGCGTGAGAAATTTCACAGTAGTAAAAGAAACAATTTTGTGATACAGGTAGGGATTTCGGGATAAAATTTCTTGGGAGCATATTAATTTACATCAAGAAGTTTATAAACGAATGTCATGGAGAAATATTATGATTCTTCTTCGCCTGTTTCCGAATTAATATTCGAGGAGTTGATAACCGATGATTCATTATCTTCACTAACCAAAGGAACAGTCTGACTGATTTCGACAGGTTCCAAGTCGACTTCAGGATTTTGCTGATTACTGATGTCTACTACTGTCAACAAATCAGTGCTGTCAGTAGCTGGGATTGAATCCACAACTGGCTGATCAGAAACCAGATTTTCCTCAGTTTCAAAAACACATTCACCAGAATCCAT